CTTGTGTTTCGCTGTTATTGCTGTTGTTGCTATGACACCTGACTTTCCCCAAGGGGATTATTAAAGGTTTATCTTATCTTATCTTGATGAGCAAGTCTAAACTTGAGAAGGTACAAATGGCTCAGTTTCAAAAATCCTCCCCTTCCCTTTTCATCCATCCCTCCTTTCTTTCATAGTTTTTAACTAACGTTTTACTCTCTGATTCAGGACATGCCGTGGAAGATGCGGCGCTTCGCCAAGCTGGACATGTCGGCCCGTCTGGAGCTGCAGTCGGCCTTAGACGCTGAGATCAGAGCCAAGCAGAGCATCACGGACGAGCTGAACAAAGTCAAGGCCAACAACATGTCCACAGAATGGTACAGATAAAGTTAGAACCACAGTGAAAGATTTTCACTTTTAACAAACCTCTTGATAATATATGATACATTATTGTCTCTGATCCACCAGTAAACTGCAAGATGTGGAAAGTAAAAACCAGGAACTCCTCGCAGAGATCGACAGGCTGAAGAAAGAGACGGAGGAGCTGCGACTACGAAGAGGTACAAATAAACCACCTCTGTCTCTCTTTTCTTGTCATTGGACCAAATCAAACAAAGAATGACCTATTCATAGTTTTCCTGTAAGGGGCATAACTGTTCAAATATCATTTAAAAAACGTTGTTCCCTGAAGTTAAAATAACAAATTGATGCAAACCAGAAGGCACTTTTTCTCTTGTTTTAGTAAATTCACAAATAGTGATCTTTGCAAACATTTTGGTGTTTTTTGTTGTTGTTCAAAAATACACCATAACATAAATACACAGTTACTCTCTATACATCATGTGTTGATGGTTGCTTAGACCTCGCACCCTGTGAAACTTTCCATGAGAAATAATCCCTGATCCAAATGAGGCTTTGCGCGTCAGAAGCCATATTTGAGAAATGAAATCCTGTGTGCATGAAAATGTATTGTTACTAAGGTCATATGAAACACCACCCCCCATCTCTTAGAAACAGTCCCGTGACTCTTTTTGTTTAAGTCACCCTTTGATGGCGTACTTAACCACCATTTGTGTTATTTGTTCTGTGTCTGTAGGTGTCAAGCACCAGGATTCCCAGAATTCCTTCTTGGCTTTTCTCAACGCCCCCACCTCAGCGCTGGACCAGTTTGATGTAAGTTTATAAGACCAAAAAAAAAATACAGCTGCTGTCAGCAACCGTATGTCTGTCGGGAATTCATGATTTTAAATCTATGATCAAGAGCAACTTGAGAATCATAAATCTCATGAATCAGCAGGTCATACCCATCACATATCTGTGCTTTTTCTTCATGCTTTACCGTGTTGTTTTTTGTTCATATGATTTTTCCACAATCTTTATTTCTGTTCTATCTTTTGGTTGCTTCCTTGCTTCATTCTCTGGTACATCAGGACTCTTATTCCTCATCCTCATCTTCTTTAATTGAGTTTTGGGAAGACGTAAGTTGTTGTTGGTTAGGCGGAGGTCTACGTGTGTGTAACAGTAGTTGTATGCTGTAGTACTGTAAGAGCTTACAGCAGAGAAAGACACTTTAGATCTGTGTAGCCGTATTGCGTATCTTTTGTCTTTGCATCAGTGTGACTGTAAAGAAGAGCAAAAACACTACAAATATATCAATCTTTTAAACAAGGTCCACTATCATCCATTTAAATACAAATGGACAAATAGATGGAACGAGATAAAGTCATGCAATTCTGATTAACGCAACGTATTTGTTTTAAGTTCATATACTTGTTAAGATTGATATCTTTTTGAAGTGTTCTGCTCTTGTATGCAGTTGCTTGCTAGTCCTAGTAGGCCAGTGGGCTATTTGAATGGCTTTCTGGCGCTTGACCTTGTGTTGAACATAATAGAGCCACAAAGTATTTATTTTTAAATCCTACATCCTTGTGTAATCAGTTTTCTTTTAGCCAGAAACAGAACTTGGGTTGCTCCATATTGACTTTTCCAGCTCCCTTCCCATCACCATGTGTATTTGATTTTCCCTTTGCCCCATCCACCCTATCCAGCCTCTGTCCTCAGTTCAACCCACACAGACATACAGTAGTCTCCTGCAGTGTTTTCCAATCCGTGGTTCTTAGCTCCTGGTGCTAGGGACATTAGCAGGGAGGTTGTGCAAATCTCAACTAATGACCTGATCTGAACTAAACTCACTCAACTGAAATATATAGATATAGACAAAGGAGCACACTTTGATTCAGTTAGCTTAAAATAATGGATAAATGGTTCCAATAATTGGTTAGAGTGATGGATAAAGAGTTAAATAAGTTGGCTATAAGTGACCGAAAAACAGTAAGCTAAAAGTAATGGATACACAACTATAAATATAGCTCAAAGTAAAGGATATGCTGTGTTGAAATAGTTAGCTAAAAGTAATGGAGTTAGCTTTAAGAAGCAGATATTTAGTTCTCTAATAGTTAGTTAAAAGTCAAATATATTGGGTTTTGAAATAATTTGCTTAAAGTAGTAGATTTGATAGTTAGCTGAGAGTAACAGGAAAACAGTTGATAGAGTTCGCTAAAAGTAATGGATTGGCAGTTGAAATAATTAATTAAAAGTAATAGAGTTGAAATAGTTGGCTATACAAAATGGATATACATTTTTGAAATAGTTATGGATAAATAGTTAAAGGTAATGGATAAAAAGTTTGTATATTAAAAAAACATTAAAAAATATTCCACATTTATAATGAATCAAATAAATAGGTTTCCTGATCATAAATAGTTGGGAACCACTGAACTCACTCAGTCTTATGTCCATGTTTCCCCTCAGTGTGTTTACTGTGTGTTAGCTCTGTCACACAGCCTCTCTGATATTCATCTCTCTCTCTGCCACTCTGCTCTCCTGCCACTGAAGCGCTCGCCATCCGTTGGCCCAGCTAGCAAAGGCAGACGCGTAAGCACCATCACTGCTCTCTGTGATCTCATGCAGCTTTTAAATGTGCCGTCATGTCGGTGTTTTATACGTGTGTGTATTTCCTGCGTATGTTAACTGTGGCTATCTGATTGCATGGCAGGGGTCCTATACACATTTGTATTTATATTTGTATCAAAGGTATTCATTTGTTGGATCTTCCATATTTGAACAACATTGGGTATTGCTATATGTGCTGCCTGTGTGTATTGGTGTCAGTGTAGCTTTGTGAATGGCTGTGCATGGTGTAAGGTGTGTGTGCTTGGGGTGTCTCAGACTAGCATGGCCACTGGGCTGTGATGTGTTCCTCATGTTCTAATACATGGGGTGCAATAAGATGTGCTCCAGTGGATATGAGCACACATCTTGACCATAATGTCTGTGGATAATGTTTTCAATGTTTTGTATTATGGCACCCACTCTTTCTCTCTACGCATGGATGATGCATATTACTCTCTTGTTTGTTTTTTTAAATAACCCTCTACTCCTTTTTCTTTTTCTCCTCCCCTACCTCCTCTCATCACTTCCTCATTTCTCTGCATTTCTCCTCCTCTCCTCCCTCCTGCCTCTCCCTCCTCAGGTGGACTCCATGGATAACTTCACTCCATCCAGGGACGATGACCCCAAGCTGCACCTCAAGTCCCGCTCGCGGTCACCCTCCATGGCCAGTGATATGGAGCCCATAGAGGTCAGCATAAGTCTGGGCATTAAACTCTTGTGTTTTGTGTATTGCCAAGTTGTGTCTTGTCTTAGTACAACAAGACTTCTGTCCTCCCATCACCAGTTCAAAAAGTGTGTCTGGCATGTCGAGGAACAACAGATCCAAATATTCCTCATTCCAATTTAATTAACAATTTCCAAAGAAGGTCTGACTGAAATTGGTACTACAACTCACAATACTGAGCTTGTTGAAAAAGTCAGTCTCGGTCAATTGCAATTGTCTCAATTATAGAGAAATGTGAGCCATGCAATAAAAAAAAAAGAGAAAATGGAACTTGTGTGTTCTCACACTCTTGTCGAACATGGTGCTACGTTTAATACCAGTTTTCTAATTGAGACTCGTGGAACTGGAAAATCACATTTGGAACAAGTCATTCAAAATGTACCGCAAGCAATCACATTGCTCACATTCTACTAATATGAACCTCATAGAAACTGTTTGTTGGATGTATTTCCAGCTCCTACTTTGTCACATCCATCCTTAGTTCAGATGGAAGCTATTGACCAAGTTTTATAAGTAACAATTCATACATTTTCCAAATACAGTCAAAGTACATTATCTCACTGCTCAATGTTTTACTTGGTTCTGTCATGCAGTTGATAGACCACCCCCCTCGTACAGTCCAGACCCCCACAATGCGCTCAGGAGGGTACGGCAGTATTGGACGCTCCTCTCCTAAGGTAAGACATTTTTCAGTTGGTTACATTTCCCCACACTAGACTTTGTTATGTTAGAGCCACTCATGATGTTGTCTCCTGCTCATTAATGCTCATTCATGTCTGCCCTCCACAGCCCAAAGCACATCAGTTTGTGGTGAAGTCCTTCAGCACCCCCACTAAGTGTAACCAGTGTACTTCCCTCATGGTGGGGCTCATACGTCAAGGCTGTACCTGTGAAGGTAAGGACACATTCTAGATTCAAAGTCTTTATTGTCATCTGCACAAAAGCTACAGCGGTTGTTGGCAATTCAAATCTTAAGCACCAGGCTCTTTAAAAAATGCAACATACAATTAACAATGCATTTAGCTGATGCTAACATCCAGAGCTACTTACAATAAGTGCAATAAACCATTTACAAAACTCCCTTAACCTTAAATAGATTTTAAAATGTCTAACCAGTCAACCATCTGATTTGTCTCGGTCTGTCTCCCTGTCCACAGTGTGTAACTTCTCCTGCCATGTAACGTGTGCGGACAAGGCTCCAGCTGTGTGTCCCGTGCCCCAGGACCAGACCAAGGGCCCGCTGGGTATCGACCCTCAGAGGGGCATCGGTACTGCGTATGAAGGCACCGTCAGGGTGAGTGAACCTGACCAGGAGTCTGGTCACAGATGGTGGTTGTGTGAATTAGAATAGTCAGTTTAAAACAATGCAGATGTCTGGAGGCCCTGATCAGGCAGCTTTCCATTTCTAACACTGCAGAAGGTTTTTCTATGATCTTCATGTCTCATAATGAATCACTCATTGATCTCTGTGTCTGTCCTAGGTGCCCAAACCTACGGGGGTGAAGAAGGGCTGGCAGAGGGCGATGGCTGTGGTGTGTGACTTCAAACTGTTCCTGTACGACCTGGGAGAAGGAAAAGCCACTCTGCCAAGTGTCGTAGTCAGCCAAGTCATAGACATGAGGTAAGAGAAGTGGAGGAATTCAAGTTGGCCATTTAAAAAAATATTTTTACTTCAAGTCTTTGAATATGATGTTTCCAGATCAAAATATCTGAAACTATTTACTGAAGACAAATCAACAAATGGCACATTTATGTAGGCACGCTTTGTATTTTTCAAGAGAAATGATTATATTAGTAGTTGCAGATGAGTTTCCTGTCGATCAACTAAAGGAATACTGGACTCACTGTTGCAGCCACAGGTCTAACCTTTATCTTCTTCCTGTCCTCCAGGGATGAAGAGTTTTCAGTAAGTTCTGTCCTGGCCTCTGATGTCATCCACGCCAGTCGCAAAGACATCCCCTGTATATTCAGAGTGAGTATTCTCAGTTGACTGAAACCAAAACTTGAAAACAATCTGAATTGTTCTCATACAACCTTCCACCTGCCCTCTGTCTCCCCAGGTGACGGCGTCCCTGCTCTCCCCCTCCGCCAACCACAAGCCCTCCATCCTGATCCTGGCCGACAGCGATCAGGAGAGGAACAAATGGGTGGGCCTCCTCAACGAGCTGCACCGCATCCTCAAGAAGAACAAGCTGAAGGAGCGCTTCGTCTACGTCCCCAAGGAGGCCTACGACAGCACCCTGCCGCTCATCAAGACCACGCAGTCTGCTGCTATCATAGGTGAGCCTCAACACTCACTCTCATGCTAAAGAAAAGCACTCTAGATCTCTACGCAGTCGTTATCTCAACAGTAGAAAGTTTGAACTAGCCGATTTGAACATGTTCCGCACAGAAGGTTGTTTTCTGCCTCCTAACTGAAACTTAAATGTCCATCTTGCTTCATTTTCTTCACCCTCAGATCACGAGCGCGTAGCCCTGGGCAACGAGGAAGGCCTTTTTGTAATCCATGTCACCAAAGATGGTAAATAAGATGTTCTACCTCACTTGTTTTTTTATTTGTATAGAAAGGCCAAAACGTCTTCTTCTGTACGTTTCTCCTCAAATGTGTTCACGCCCCCGTCTTCCCCTGCTTCCTCAGAAATTATCCGGGTGGGGGACAACAAGAAGGTGCACCACATCGACCTGATCTCCCAGGAGCAGCTGCTGGCGGTGATCTCCGGCAGGAACCGCCACGTGCGTCTCTTCCCCACGCAGGCGCTGGACGGCCGCGAGACGGAGTCCTACAAGCTGGCAGAGACAAAGGGCTGCCAGACCATCGTCTCCGGCCCCGTGCGCAACGGCTCCCTCACCTGCCTCTGCGTGGCCATGAAGAGGCAGGTCATCTGCTACGAGGTGAGAACACACAGTGCAGTCGAACAGATCATTATTCATTTCAGTCAAACTGAGAATTAGTGCCATGTCTTTCCTTTTGATCATATGTCTATCATTTGCTGCTGAATCAACGTCTCTGTCCTCCTGCAGGTGAATAAGAGTAAAGCTCGTCACCGCCGGCTGAGAGAGGTGCAGGCCCCGGGGCCCGTTCAGTGGATGGGTCTGCTCGGTGAGCGGCTCTACGTTGGATACCAGTCTGGATTCACCCGCTACAGGTACTCATATCAAAACAGTGAAGATGTTCCTCTCATGGATTTTAGATCTGTTTGTTCCTGCAGTGTGTTAAGATTCAGTGAAGAACTATTAAGATCCTTAAAACCATCACACACGTCCAAGTCCTGCTTTCAAAAACTTACTTAAGTGTACTGTGAGTATGTAGTATTATAAGCTAAATGTACTCTAAGTATCAACAATGAGTAATTGTGCAGTAAAATGTCAGTGTTTTGAAGTCATATTTGATGTTTTTTGATAAACATAACTGCTGCATTCATGTGTTTGGTTCATGTTACTGCTGCAGGTGTTTCTGCTTTGCTCATTTGAACTCCCTTATTTACGGTTGTGTAGTCTAATCTAGAACAAAGCATTCTATTCTATAAGATCGTCATGTTTGTAACTTTGTCCCTGTGCCTTTTTCAAATCGAAAGCTCTAAAAAGTCAACTTTTTGTGATAAATGTTCCACCTGTTCCAAGAGTCTTTATAAGTATAGTTTATTCAGCTCAGGAAGTATAAACACTTCATCTTTTAGTTTATTAAGAAAAATGTACACTCCAAATGACCTAAAGTAAATAGCCTTAAAAGCTGTCTGATAAATGAAGGGGAATAAGGAGTCAAATATTTGTTTCTGAGATCTGTAGCAGTTAAAGAGTGTTTCCCTCGTATACAAAAGGATACTCCAGTTTGGTCCAAGTGTATTGAATGTGCACTTCAGTATAGTATGTAAGTAAGGTCATTGTTTTACGTTTCTCCACATTTCTGAATGTGATGACTCTTACCTCCACAGTGTCCATGGTGACGTGTCCCCCGTCAACCTGCTCCACCCCGAGGACCACACCCTGGCCTTCATCCCGCAGCAGGGCCTGGATGCTTTCTGCGCCGTGGAGATCTCCAGCAAGGAGCTGCTGCTGTGCTTCAGCTCCATCGGGGTGTACGTGGACTCTCAGGGCCGCCGGTCCCGGCAGCAGGAGCTCATGTGGCCCGCTGTGCCCATCTCCGCCTGTGAGTGCACGTCTGAATGGTTACTAACATGGAGATCACATATGGAGGCTCTTTTGAAAAACCAATGCTGCTTTCTTTTGTCCAGGCTACAACGCCCCCTACCTGTCGGTGTACAGTGAGAACGCTGTGGATGTATTCGATGTCAACACCATGGAGTGGATTCAGACCATCCCTCTGAAGAAGGTCAGTGCTGAAGCTTTAGCAGAAATAGGCCCAATTCCAAACCGCCCCCTACACACGAGGGTCCGCCACATTAAGTGCCGTTCCAATGCAACAAGTGTGGGGGGGAGTGGGTTATCAAGCCCTCCAACAGCGAGTCTGCATCACCTGACTTCCCCTGCTGCTCTACCTGACCGACCCAACGCTGTGTCTGTCCGCCAGGAACAAATAGTTCCGTTCAAACATTTACTGATAAACAACATAGGGTTTTGGGCCTGAATTGGGCCATAGTGTCAGATGAAGGCATCTCTGGCTCCACCTGCTGGATTTAAAAAATAATCCTACTTGCCTCTGTCGTCATAGAAACCTGACTCATTCCCCTGAATGGCCGCCTGCCGCATGAATAGAAAAAAAAAAGGTCCTTATTGTTAAGTTTACTTTACATCAGTTGACATAATAAAAAGAAATGGAGCAGATCAGAATACTTTACCCACTGGGGAAACTATGTTTGCGACAGCTGCTCAATTTTAGAACAAAAGAAAAATACAAAGGTAAAATTAAATATAATTAAAATAGTAAGTTAAATAAAAAAAGTACAAAAAGAAGATACAATTAAATACAAATCTTTATACAAAGATAAAGGAAATAAAATAATTGCACAGGTTATACAAGAACGTTAAGATGGTCAGAGCTGCTGATCGGTGCAGTTAGTCTAGTAGCAGTCTATTGACCCATGGCATGATTCTATATATCTAATGCTTCCTCTTCAGGTGCGACCTCTGAATGTGGACGGCTCTCTGAACCTGCTGGGCCTGGAAACAGTACGGCTGATCTACTTCAGAAACAAGATGGCCGGTAAGAATTCACAAGTGTATTGTGGGAAGAAGGGAAATAATATGAACTGCAAAAATGACAGAAATAATCCTCAGATGTTTTCCATTGTTTTTCATCAAGTAGAAGGTTTTATTTCTGGCAGTTGCTTCCAGAGTTAGCTCCAGCTGGATATGTAGCTACAGTTTCTAGGACTTGTTGTTCACCTTTTCTTTTGAATAAAAGCATGTTGGGTAACAGGAGAAAGTTTGACATGCCAGTCAGAACAACTAAAGTATGTTTGCAACACTTTGTAGTCTCTCTCGTAAACCATCTGTGTCTTTGTTGTGATCTCGCAGAGGGAGATGAGCTGGTTGTCCCGGAGACGTCAGACAACAGCAGGAAGCAGCTGGTGCGCAGCATGAACAACAAGAGACGCTTCTCCTTCAGGATACCGGAGGAGGAGCGGCTCCAGCAGAGAAGGTAGACCACCTGCAGCACACACACATTTACACACATCTATACTCACTGTGAGTCGCTGTGGATCTGTTAGCACTCAGGAGCACTAGAATATAACACAACAGAAACACAGACACTTGTGATTAAAGGTAAAGATGACATTGTTTTAAGAGTCATGTGACTGAGAAAGTGTCTGAAGAGAGAATCTCACAGGTTTTTAAACGATGTGGCCCCCAAAACAATACCAAAGAATCAGGGAATACATGTCATCTTCATGTAAGTGACCATTAAAGAGGCCCTATTGTGCTTTTTTCCCACACACTCCTTTGGGCTAAAATCCCCCCCCCCTGCCTGGAATGCCACCATTGGACTTCTCTGTTTACTTCCTTAAGATAGTGGCATCACTTTGTAACACTCACTCTTCTATAAGCTAGCATTCCAACACATTGTACATGATAAGCTAAGAGGCGGGACATGTCTAAGCAGTTGACCAACCACAACAGAGCCGGCTAGCTAGCCAGCCAATCATGGCAGCCTGGGCTGTGGTTTCTTTGTCCCTGTGAAACATGTTGTGCCTCTTCTTATGTGTTGTGTGTGTTTGTGATTCCAGAGAGATGCTGCGAGACCCAGAGATGAGGAACAAGCTGATCTCTAACCCCACCAACTTCAACCACGTGGCCCACATGGGGCCCGGAGACGGGATCCAGATCCTCAAAGACCTGCCCATGGTAGAAGCCTAAGCCTAAACATTAGCACTCACTTGCACGTTGTTAAAGACTTGTGTAAGCACAAGGAAGGGAGGGGATCGTATAGGATTCTTTCAAGGATCGTAATTAAAAAACCATGAGCTATAAATTGTAGGATATATGAGATATTATAAAAATAAAACAATAAGTAAAACCAGAGCCAGATTTATAAAAAAAACAATATTTCTTTATATTTATTAATACAGGGGAAACCTTTAATGAAATCCTTTATTTTTATAAAAATATATGCCAACATAGTTTATTCCTAAACATGTTAAGTTCAAGTGATTCCAATAGGTTTAGGTTTGATGTTATTTATTCTTTATTTATGCGGGGGGGAAGTCATGTTTTTAATGAGATATTTCATATTAATGGGGAAAAAAGCAAACATATTTTATTCTTAAAACAAAGTAAATGAAAGATTCCAATATGTTTATGATTATCAGGATATTATTATGATTCCAAATGATTTGGAGCTGGATAATCATGACATACATTTGTTAATAACACACTGTAAACACCACAGGGGAATCAGCACAGACACACACATTCAAACAGACAACACTTGGGAGTGTGCGATGTGTGTGTTAGTAGCCCTGCTTCAGAACCAGCCCCCCCCCCCTGGTCTTTAGCATGCTAACATTCAGCACCCGCTTTGTTAGCAAACCTGAGCGGCTTGATGTCTCCTACGCTGACCCTCCTCTTCATCACATCCCTTCATCCTGTGAAGTTCTCCCTCCTCCTGTCAGGCTGCTTTTATAGACACTGTGCATGCAAACCTCAGCGACCAATCACAGCTTAGCGTTCAGCTGCATGTAGTGTGTGTCACTGCCCCCTCCTCACTGCTGTCCCCTGCACTGCACTCCGTGTGTGTGTATGTTTGCTCCGTGCGTGTTTAAACCAGAACGTCCGTGTTCAGGAGAGCCGGGCGGGCTTCAGCGGCTCCGTCAGCATCCCCTCCATCACCAAGAACCGGGCGGAGCCGGGCCGCTCCATGAGCGCCAGCAGCGGGCTGGGCATACGTGAGTACAGAGCCGAATACACTCCACTTTACTTCCTGTTTGCTGCTCCTCCCTGACCCCCCCCCTCTCTCTCCAGGCTCCTCCTCTCAGAACGGCAGTGCGCTCCGCAGAGAGCTGTCGGGGGGGAGCTACAGCTCCAAACGGCAGACCATGACCTCCCCCTCGGAGAGCTCCCTGTCCTCAGGGGGGGGCATGGACTGCGGCGACGCTCCGCTCTCACAGTTTGACAGAGAGGTGAGTAACACTGAGCATACAGCTCCATGTGCGGTTGCCTAGATACTACAAATGAAACTCTGTCTCTTTAAGAGGTCTGGTGTGGACGAGCTAAACCACTAATGTTCTACTAACTGATGTTAAATCAGACTTTAGTTCCAGCTCTGTATGAATCCAAAGGCACTTCATTGTTTCCCTGCCATCCGACTAGACGCTAGTCTTGAAGATCAAATATTATAAAAGCGATAATATTGTTCCCCATTCAAACACCTCCCCCTGAACCCATCCGTCACACACATCCCGCCCCCGGGTGCAGGCCTCCACCTCATCCCACAGTCACACACACCGTTAGCTCCCTGTTAGCGCTGGAAAGTGATACCTGCTGTAGCGTTAGCTCGGGCTAGCTGTTGCCTCTTAACGTTTGAAGCTCCCTGTAGTAAGTATATTCCCAAAAAACACAAACTAAATGACTAGGATGAAACGTAGCCATTGCGATTTTTGGGCAACTTCAACGCGCCTGCCATCTCTCCCGTGGCTCCCCCCCCCCCCCCTCATCCTCTTGGCCCCATCAGCCTGGACGCTCCATGTTTTGCCCCATTGCCCCATGCCTTCCCCTCCACCCTCATTCAGCCGTGCCTCGCCCCCTTCCCCCCCCTCCTCTCCCCCCCCCCCCCCCCCCGGCATGTTGTCTGTGGGCCGGGCGCTGAGTGTGAACTCTCCTCTGCAGTGGCAGGCGGTCTCCCCGTCGGAGAAGACCCCCGATCTGAAAAGGGCTTTAAGGACCCTGCTTAGTAAGATGAAGGTAATGTCAACACCTGAGAGTGGCACTGAGTATCTGCACACACACACACACACACACACACACACACACACACACACACACACACACACACACTGTCATTTCCATATACACACACATTAGCCTCCGTCCACTTGCACCTGATGGCTGTCCCATGTTTCACCGGAGCGTCAGCCGCACCACCCTCACCCGGCCTCCGTCATGTTTTTCTGTTGCTGATAAACGGTGCACACGCTGCTGCTCCATCTCCTCCACCCTCACAGAGCATGTCTGCTTCACACGGGCCCCCCCGACAGACGCCATGTTCCTCACATGAGCTGTCCCCCTCGCAGCAAAATAAGACGAAAATAATAAGGGTGCTGTGTCGTCTGCTCGGGGTTCACCCTGCAGGATGTACTGATCACAAACAGCCAATCAGATGGCAGCTGCATGCTTCAGAGTGGTTCTGATCTCTTTGTCGGATGATGATGATGATGATGAGGATGAGCGCTTTGAAACACAGCATCACATCCACAAAGATGTGTACAATATGTATCTGGGCAGTGCTCCTCCCAACACACACACTGTGCAGTTTCAGAATCAGAAATACTTCATGACCTCTGCGGGGAAGTAAGGTTACGACTGCGCCAATTCTGTAATAGAAATGTATATGTTAACCAGGGCTGCATGATTTGGGGAAAAAATGAATTGAGATTATTTTGACTAACATCACTAACATTATTAACATGTAACATTATTTAAAGTGTGATTTAGTTTTTGAGAGGATCTGTAACGCACAAAGATAAGTCTAAAAGTTTGGACATCTATGCAACACTTCAATCCTTAATGATAATCATTTAAACATTTACTTTAAGAAATATTTCGCCTTACTACACTAGTTACTGGATTTTGAATAATCTTTTATGAATTGAGCAACCCTAATTTAAAAATAAAGAAATGATACATGAAAAAATGTATACATCAAACACAAAACAAATCTATATTTCATTTACGATCAGGTTTGTTTAAATGCAAGAACCGTAAAACAAGAATATTGGTTAGAGAAAGAAGAAATAAATGCAGTTGAAATGTATATGAAAACAGCGCACTGCCCGGCTGCATGAGCTGCGAAACACATGATGTCCACGAGCTGAGTGATGGGATGGAGAAGGTGGAGATGTTGGAAGAGTAAGCTCTGTGGTGTTTATAGAGTCACAGGAGACTGTTGCACATCAAAGAGTCACTGAACAGGAACATATGTATCCTAGCAACACATGAGATCATTATCCATCCCATAATAACCTGAGGACATGATCACTGGACTGTAAACAGGGTCCTGTAGCACACATGTAGTTTCTCCTCCTCAGTATCATGTGTGTCTCCTCTCATAAGGACAGTCATACTGTATGTGTAGTACAGTATGACCCCCCCCCCCATCTGGCCTGCTGCATGTTAGGTTTCCCTCAGCTGATCATCTGCTGCTGGAATGTAGTCCTAAAACCTGGGAATGAGGCTGCCATTTTTTTTTGCTGAATGTCTTTGATAAGAAGATTGAAATAAGGTCTATGGTCTACACAAGCTAAAGAGATGTTTTCTATTTTGTTCTACGACATAAAGTCCGTCAGTAAAAACCCCAAACATGAATTTTCGAGATTTAGCGTTTCCTAAAAAATGCGGCAAAATGACACGTGGTGAAGTTTCATAAACGTTTGTTTACCACAGATCTTATCTTCTGCAACAATGCAACACCCAAGGGTCTTTCTGTAGAAGGAACATCTCCCTTCCTGACTTCATTTCTTTTATTGCACATTCTTACTTCTTATATTATATAATACATTATATTTTCAAATGTATTCTGTAATGGAACAACCCAGACGGTATTATTAAAGCTGTTCTGAATCTGATTGTGCACTCTAAGGAGATTCCTCCCTGCAGCGCTCTGTTAGCCTCCAGAGAGCTAGCCTGTAGCTCCTGAGTGTTAGACTCACTGTATGTTTTATATATATGGACGTAACTGAACTAACGTGTCTCTCTCTCTCCTGTTCCTTTATCTTCCCCCAAACTTCACCCACTCTCTTCCTCTCCTCTCCTCTTTCTGTCCGTCTTCCCCCCCTCCAGGACTCGGACTCCCCCCGTCACTCCACGGCCTCCAACAGCTCCACCTTCAGCAGCCCCCCCAGCCCGGCCTCCCCCCACAAGGCCAAGTCCCTGTCCCTGGAGAGCACAGACCGGATGGGCTGGGACACATGAGCCTGACACCTCTTCCCCCCCCGCCACCCCCCGACCGACAGCACAGGACTCCTCCCCCCCCCCCCCCCCCCCCCCCCCCCTCCTCACTGCCCAGAGAACTGCACCTCCTGACGAACGTTTGTCCCACTTTACGACCTCAAATTGTCTCATCGTACTTCCAAGACGGGGAGTCGTCATTTCTGAGGGAGAACTTTAAAAATGAGTGTACATGTGGGTGCTGATGTTTGAGGTGTGTGCGTGTGCGTGTGCGTGTGCGTGTGCGTGTGTGTGTGTGTGTGTGTGTGAGAGAGAGAGAGAGAGAAGCTGTATGCGTTTGCCAAGAAGAGTGTGTGCATGTGATAATTCAGAAAGGGCATACGATATAGGAATGAAGCGCTCCCGTCTTTTTGCTATCAACCGAAGCGTAATCGACACTACTCTGTCCCCCCCCCCCCCATCCCCCCCCCCCACGCTGAGATTCATTCAGAGACTCAAAAGCCTCACGATGCAACACAAAGAGAAGAGGATTATACTGAGAGAAAAGGATTTGTACTTGTACATAGGACCCGTTGGGTTTTAGGGGACGATATTTTAATTTATTTATCATTCTTAGAAGGGAGGCTTGTTTCGCTTCATGGCCAGAATCAGACGGGTGGAGTTTAGCCCCCCTCACTTCCCCTTTCTTTGCTTTCTCTTTGGGTGCTGCAAAAAATTCTAAATGTAAAAAAAAAAAAAAAGGAGAAAGGATTTATTTTTTTTGCTCATGATATTAAGTGCAGTGACTTTATACTATTTTTCATTTTGACCGTCAGCAAAAAGCTACTATGACATCATCACATCTGTGCTCTCTCCTTATTGGTCCAACGCGAGTGACATCATGGTCATAGTGTAGACGCTCCGCCTTGCTGTACAACCAAACTGACCAACAGGTTCCCATCACAATAATGTACATAGGTTCAAAGTAGAGAGTAATATATGATACGGAAATACTTTAGAGAACTACACAGGAGAGACAAAGATCCTCCTTGACGTTTATGTCTGATTTCCTTTGTTTTCAGAGTGATTCGGGTTGTGTTCACGCAAAAAGCCATTTTAAACCACTTCTTTTTTTTACCCATTGATTTTTAATTTGTTTTCTATTTTATGTACGACACGTTGTTTTCTTTTCCCACTCTGTTTGCGTTTGGATCAACACTACTGTAGCGTGAACATTTATCACACATGTACCCACACACACACACACACACACACACACATGCTGAGGTGGTGTTTTATGCCTTCGTCCTGCTCCTCCTCCTTCTCACTGTCGGAGGAGGAAGTGAAAATGTAATCTACAGTTTCTGTTCACGGAAAAGATCAGTGTTGATTTAACCAACAAAAAAAAAAAGGACATTAGAGGACGTTCTTTCTCATGTATACTCTGAAGACACATTTGTTAAAAAACACTACAAAGGAGAATGTAAAACACTAAGTGGGCACCGTTTGTCTTGATAAAGCCAGATGAATGAACCTCAGTGCTGCCTGTTGTCTGTAAGGGCTGGATGTCTACACCCCGAGTAGAAAGGCCTCTGTAACCTCCTGATGGAAAAGTGCTTCGGTCGAGGAATGCTTCATACGGCAGAAGGGGGTCAAACTGTACGGGAACAACATTAAACACTAAATAAAAAGTGGTTCTAACGTGGTATTATCTGTAAGAACGCACAGTATTCTAATACTGACCTGTCAGAATCTAAACTATTCCATTGTGTTTGTTAGAAAGGGACACAAAAACCAAGTGGCGCTAAGATAACCCATTCCAAGTGTTTTTATTAAGTATTCCATTTTATATAAAGAGAAAGGGGGGGGGGGGGGTTATTCCAAACAACCACCTATTTTAAAAGCTAGTGAGTCTCCTGGAGTTTCTGTAGAATGTATTAGATGAGGAGGGGTGGGGGTGTTTTATTATTGGCCAATATTGTACAGAAAAACTGATCCTACACATCCCAGTTAAAGGAAAGAGAAACTCAGGAATTGTCAGAAGAACCAATGAATTATTTTCATCTCGATGGGAATGATAAGGATGGATGGGTGAGGAGACGAGTGTACAGAAGAGGTGGAGGCGGCAGGATAAAGGTGGAGAAAATGTTTTCAGGGTGGCAGGGGGTTTGAGGTGCCGCAGTGGTAAGAAAATCAACAAAAAAAAATTCAAACGCCTTTGCATTTCAGTGAGGTCTTATCTACAGTACCTTCTATATTATTTTTGCTCTTTCATATCATATTACACTTTGTTTTTTTTTCTAGGATTGCTTTGTAATAATTTGTACAGTTTTGCATGTTATAGATGTAATCATTTTTGTTTTCGGTTTGTTGTTTTACTTGCTCCTTTTTTGAACGGTTTGGGCGTTTTACTGAGGATAACCCACTACAGGTGATGTAGAATCTGTTTTGCACAAAAAAAAATATTTAAGGTGTAAGGTCAAAACAAAAAATAATGTATGGAACTGGCTGCCACACTTATGTGGAGAACTCATTATATTAACCTGACTCCGATGTATTTCAATAAAGCGGAGGGCTGTTACAAATACAACCCCGTGTGTCGCTGTGTGGTCATTACGCTGACAAATGTACATTCTTAAAAAAAACTTTATTACAAATTAACAGCAGAGGTTTTTACAGCTTTACAAGATATGCCACTCGAGGAAATGTTGCTCAAACATTTGACAGCAGCTATACGAGTAAGGACACATGTTAAAAGGACGGACTAACTGAGAGATCACTCTAATTTAAGGGCGACTATCATCTATTCACTGTAAGGCAGGAGTTTGGATTCAGCTCTGTTCCTGGTGCAGCCCTTTCCTTCTGTCGTCATTACATCGTCACACCAAGCAATGAAGAACCTCAATATCAAAACAAATGTGAAATGAGAGAAGGCTTTTATAAAGTTCATGAGTCATGTACAGCATATATAAAGAGCGCTTGTTCCTTAAACTTCTTGCACATTTGTTGGATTTCATGTGGAGTTTCAAATTGGATGTGAATAAATGGCCTGTCTAAACATCAGGTTAATGAACCAGGATCGATTTGATGCTGAATAATAATGCAGGCGCAGTGACGGGTGCAAACTGTTTACATGTAGCCATGAAAAACACCCTGCCTCCGCCCAAACTAAAGAGAGGGCGGTGTAATGTCCATCACTCAGTCCTTTATACAGTTACAGTAAAAAAAAACATCCAGTGCATCTGTTAGAGTTCTCCAGTGTTTCACAGGGCACCATCAGCACCATCAGCACCAGCAGCACCACCCAATCCATGGTGGGGTGTAAACTGGTCAAAGTTTAAAGTTCCGTTTTTTGAGAGTGGAGTAAAGCTGAGAGGACATTTTAAGGCGTGGACCCACACCACCCTCAGCCCTCTCTGGCAGGATGTAGCTGACGTCATCAGTGACAGCTTCCGCTCTGCGCTCCATCACCTCCTCCGCCCTCTGAGAGGCTCGCTGTGGATCTTCACATTCTTTCCCTTTCTAGAAACGGAGAGTCTTTTCTACAGTCCTCTGAAGTATCGAGGTGGTGTTCAGGCGGTCCCTCCGTCCTCCTCCAGCACTCGGTGGATCCCGTTGCCAGGGCCCCCGAGCACAGCCTGGGTGGTGCTGGTGAGGTCCCTGACGCTGCTGTGCCTCGATTGGCTCTCCAGCCTCTGGGTGGAGCCGTGGCGGGACAGGCTGTCCAGGCGGGTGGTGCTGCAGTGGCGTGGCGGGTCGTGGAGGCGGGGCATGCTGCCGTAGGGGGGGTGCTCGTCTGCTGCCCGGAAGCTGGGGGCGGTGTACCTGCGACAGAAACAACAGCGTCAGGAGGTGGACTCTGAGGGGGGGTCAGAATCTGAGAGCTACACCCACCTGTCGTCACGGTTGCGGTGCAGGCTGCCATGGTAACTGCTCATCTTTGAGCGGGTGCTGCGGACCGAGCCGGCCCGGCTGGTGCTGCCGCTGGGGGGCTCGTCCAGCATGGCCAGGTGGGTGGAGGAGGCGTGGGTGGAGGTCCCCTGGGTGGAGGTGCCCCGGGACTTTCTGACGATGGGGGTGTTGGGGTCCCGGAGCAGCAGCTGGGCGAAGTCGGGCTCCTTTAGCACCTGCCGGCTGTCTTTCACCATCCGGCTGCGGCGGGTGGATGGGGGGGAGGAGGGGGCGGAGCAGGAAGAGCAGGAAGAGGAGGAGGAGGGGGGGAGTGGAGGGAGGGAGAGGCGCAGCAGGGAGGGGAGGGACAGGGGGAAGGTAGAGAGGCGGGGGGTGTGGTAGAAGAGGATGGAGGAGTGGGTGGAGCAGGCGGGGGGGAGAGGGGGTTAATGCTCTGATTGGAGGGGGGGTGCAGAGAAAGGCCAGTGTTCACCACCAAGCCACACAACTACACACATCTACATGATGTCATTAGCCAATCAGATCCTGTGTGCTGCTGGTGGGCTCCAGGTGCCCCTCATCCAGCCCCTAACCACCCAGCCTCACCAGATTCAAAGAGAGGACATGAACATTTGTCTAATGGCTTATCATGAGGGTGAATGCTAAAGTTTGAATCTGTTCATGTCAGTAAGGACTTCTGTAGTTTGAACTTATCAGTGGAGTCAAGTCAATTGATCCCAATACATTCATCATATTTAAAGCAATTGTCTTCATATTGATTGTGTATGTTTCTTTCTATAAGAATATGTAAATATGTTTTATGCAAGAATAAATAATGAGATTAAAATGTACCGCTCTTGTTTTTATTTAATAATCACTACAAAGGGATGAAATGAGTTCTGCTCACACTTCCACATCATGTGAGGAGCTCTTAAGATTGTGTGTGACTAGTGTTGAGCGTCTTCTATCAAACTCCTCAGTGTCGGGTATAAAGTACGTACTCCTTGCGTCTCTTGCCGTGGAAGAAGCCCGCCCACTCGAAGCACGTCTTCTTGCTGCCCACCCAGAACACGGAGGGGATTCCCACGATCAGCATCATCACGTACTTAGTGAGGAAGAGGGCGAGGTCCGGGCGGCTGGTGTGCTCCACCTGCAACACACACACACACACACACACACACACACACACACACACACACACACACACACACACACACACACACAGGAGGTTAATGCTTGAGAAGTGTGTGTGAGAATTAGGCCAGTAGGCTAAAATGTTGAAAAAAGTCAAAGTATGGTATTTGGAGGAAAGAAAACGTCATATAATATATCTGAAAAAACATAGAACAGTACGTCGAAACATGTCATGGTATAATATGGCATATGTCAAAAATATCAGAAAAAAGGACACAGTATAGTATGTCCAACATATAAGAAATAAGACATAGTATGGTAAACCGAAAGAATGTCAGAAGAATTTTGAAGTATTTTGAAAAAGATCTGAAAAAGCGACACACTATAATAGTATATAGTATGTTGAAATGATCATGACATTGACATTTGATGACATTATCAAATCTTTTAAATGATACCTCATTTAGGTTGTTGTCGGCCACTGAGACTTTAAATGAACGACTGAATACTTTACAGTTCACATCACTTTCCATTCTCTGAGACGGAGGAGGAAGCTGCTGCCTTCTGTCTCAGAGACAAGGCTACAGAGGAACTATCTCTGCTCTCATCAGTGCACACACACACACACACACAGCATGCAGTCACACACAGATGTAGTCATCGTGGCCTCATTATGAGCGGGCCAGGCGGAGGCCCCGGGGCCCGGCCCAGCGATCCACTCATTACACAGAGAGATAGGAAACTACAGGAAGTCCTCGTTACTCACTGCGGTCATATGTTCTGCTTCAGGACATCATGGACTTTAATAAAGCCTCAACGAGATGGAAGACTGAAGGACACATACGCCATCTCGTGTGTGTGTGTGTGTGTGTGTGTGTGTGTGTGTGTGTGTGTGTGTGTGTGTGTGTGTGTGTGTGTGTGTGTGTGTGTGTGTGTGTGTGTGTGTGTGTGTGTGTGTGTGTGTGTGTGTGTGTGTGTGTGTGTGTGTGTGTGTGTGTGTGTGTGTGTGTGTGTGTGTGCAGCCTCAGCAGAGTGCAGCTCCCAGCCTCAGGGAAACCTTTTAAGATAAATATAGTAATGCACTTTGAGTCTCAGCTATCTTCTGATGCACGTTATTGACTGTGTGTGAAGGCATTCTGTGTGGGGGGGGGGGGGTTGAGGATGAAACTTTGTGGACTTCTACACCTAGAGGCATCTCTGCAGCGCACTGTTAGCATGGTATATGGAAACAGAACAGACAGCATCACATCTGCAGTAACTGTGATGCTGTGCAGCTTGATCCCACTGACCCAGGAACACACACACACACACACACACACACACACACACACACACACACACACACACACACACACACACACACACACACACAGGATTACTGCACTGCTCTCTTACACAATGCAGTGTTTACGTGCCAGATTAAGAGCACCACTGATCTGACTCAATGCAGCACCGCCCCCCCCCCAGCTGCAGCTCTATCAGCGAATACTGTTACTCTCGTGGTGTTTATTCAGGTGAGATAACGTCTAGGGCTGTACCGAGTGTCCCTTTACATTTGAAGATTGTATTGATATCTGAGAATGACACTAGAATATCTATCTAAGCGCCATACCTTAAGAAATCATAGCTTTTGTATCATGGTTATATAAATGTGTGTTATGGTGCCGTTTGGTAACTGCTAAACCGTTACGTTAATAAAGGGGGGCCTCCCTGTGTGGGCCATCATGAGAGCAAACTGTGAAAATGTAGTATGTTTAAAGGCTAAACATCAACAAATAAGAATTGAAAGCAGAATATTACATTAGAAATAGACTGGTACACTTATCCTTTTCTAATATATTTCGACCTCTGTACTTAACAAAGGAGTTTTAGGAAATGTTTAAATCAACAAAGCAATCAAACGCAGCCACCATTGAAAATGTGTTGTACATTATATTATTACTATTACTAGAATGACTCTAAATACAGTTTGAACATGGACGTCACCATGACCCTGTGTGACAGCTGTGTGTTCGGCTGCTGAAGACACGCAGCTCGACTTATCCCTGTATCGTCTCCTGTGTGTGTGTGTGTGTGTGTGTGTGTGTGTGTGTGCGTGTGTGCACTCTGTCGGCTGTTGTGTTTACATGCAGGACACACACTCTCTGTGAGCATCGCCCTCTCTAATGTCTCTGTGTGCAAACACATCTGGCAGCCTCCAGCTGTTGCCTCCTGCTCTGTCTCCCTGCTTCCTTACAGGAGTCCCAGTTGTGCTTCTAATGTGTACAAACATCTGTGCAAACTGTGAGGCGCGTCATGAATCCATGCATCAGGGCTTCAGATACCAGAGGTCCCCGAAGGACTTTAAATCTGAGGTGAGCTGTCACCTGGATGCTTCTGGATTATTTGACGTTTTCATAGAGGGTGCTCAAACATTTAGGGTTTCCCATGAATGTACCGGTCGCTACAGTGGAATGTTCTACTGCAACATCCCTGTCATGCCTCTGCGCCCCCCACTTTGAGAAACACTGCATTAGTCCATGTTGCGATTTCAATCATATTTGATTCATGATGCAGTGTTATCACCATATGGTGTTATTGTCTTCTATCATCTCAAAAACATTGCCAGACTCCGGCCTCCACTCTCTGACAGAAACACTCGCACACGCCTTCATCACATCCCGTCTGGACTACTGCAATGGAGTCCTGTCCGGGGTTCCCAGCTAAACCCTGGCCAGGCTCCAATACGTCCAGAACCCTGCCGCCAGGCTTCTCACCCGCACCAAGCCATGGCAACATATCACCCCCACCCTCATCCACCTCCACTGGCTGCCGGTCGAGTCCCGGATTCAGTACAAAACCCACCTCCTCACGTACAAGTCCCTCCATGCCCTTGCCCCCCAGGACTTATCGGACCTCCTCCATCCCTACACCCCTTCTCTGAGTCTGCGGTCCTCAGACACGGGCCTGCTCTCCATCCCCCGCTCTCGCCTCAGAACTGTTGGTGACAGGGCGTTCAGTGTTGCGGCCCCCACCCTCTGGAATGCACTTCCTGCCGAGATCCGTAAGGCTGCCTCCCTGGACATCTTCAGATCATCATTAAGAACTCACCTGTTCACCCTGGCCCTCGGGCCCGAGCCCTTTCTTGGTCCCCCGGCTTCCTTTATTTTTGTTTGCCCTTTGATTGTCTGTTTGTCCACCATGTACAGCGACCTTGGGTCCCTTGAAAGGCGCTATATACATATCATTTATTATTATTATTATTATTATTATTATATATATACAGAGCATATATTCTACATTTCTACCATCCCTTATAAATCACGTTTCCTTCTGTGAAGAAGGAGAGACATGTGCAGGTTATCTGATGTGATGATATCAATGTGCAGACAAGCTGAGCTAGTACTAGGCTACAACAAAGGGAACTCACAACATATTTCAGACTTGCAAGTGAAATCTATTTTGTGCCCAAAGCAGATTTCATAAGTTATAAATAATGTACGAAATGATATTGGGAATGATTAGTGGAATGCAGCACAGGCTGCAGATGATGATTGGTTCAGTTTAAACCCCATGAGAAGCTTCTGGTCCTCACCTGGTAGGGGCAGGGGATGTGGTAGTCCCGACACTGCTCCTGGACCCAGGTGGTCTCCCAGATGCTCCGGTAGCTGTTCTCGTACAGGTAGCAGGCCAGGACCACCAGCAGGGGGACCAGGTAGAGCACGGAGAACACGGCGATGCGGATCATGAACTTCACCAGCTTCTCCTGGTTCTCCTTCTCCAGAGGGATCTCCATGCGCACGCGGTTCAGAGCGGCGATGCCTGCCAGCAGCAGCGCCACGCCCACCTGCCACAATGAGAGGGGGGGGGGGGGGGGGGGGGGGGGGTGATGCTTTCACTCAGATTGAGAGGGAGATCATGGCGTACAGACTTGATCTGTTACCATTAGATTTCTTAAAAGAACTCTTTTCTTTGTATTTCGACACTACAGACCTGTGGTGTAGCCACCATTTCAAATGTTTGGATGGGTTCAACTTGGTGAGATACACCGTGCTGAAGTCCCTGTGTGGGTGGTAGGTGCTGCAGTGCTGTGCCACTCACACGTCTCAACACATGTAAGAACGCTTGGTGAACATATAGTTATTCTTTTCTAGATCTTGGTCCCAAAAGAATCAAATGCAGGTAGACTTTAGATGTTCTGATACCTCTTGGTACTCAGGTATTTTGGAACCAATACCCAGCCGTGCACTTTGCTGTACTACTGATTCATTCAGAATCAATATCTTAGTAAAACCAATACAACACTGCATATATTGTGATATACATGAAGTATAATGAATAGCACTGTGCACATTTTACTTTAACTTCACATTTTTATATAAATATTTGCATTCATTTTTTAATTGTATTTTTAGCATGTATTCCACATATTATCCATTTGTTTATATACTGTAGATATTTGTTTTTCATTTCATTTTTGTTTTAATCTTTAAATGCACTTATTTTAACTTGTTTATTTTGTATTATCAATAAATGTATTATTTTTGTTTTGTTTTATTGATATCATTTTAAGATGGAGCCACTGTCACCAAACAACGTAAGTATTTATAATTCGGACTAAAATAGAAGTAACAGAATGAAATAGAAAAGATCTCACTGTATGTTTCCACATGATCTCTAGTGTGTAATACTCGTCCTCACCACTACATCCAGTCCCAGAGGGGCGATCAGGAACCAGCGCAGCGCCGTCAGGTTGTACAGCCCCACGAAGCAGACCCCGCTGATGCTGTCCCCCTCGATCTTGTTCATGGCGAGCAGCGTCACGGTGAGGACCCCCGGGATGCCCCAGGCGCAGGCGTGGAACAGGAGCGCCTTCTTCTCTATGGCCTCGCTGCCCCACTTGGGAACAGCAGCCAGGAACCAGGTGATGGTCAGGATGACCCACCACACACTGCCCGCCATGGTGAAGAAGTACAGCACCATGAAGAGGAGGGTGCAGGCCTGGGGCAGAGACCATGGAGGGTCAGTACCAAGGACCGGGCAGTGGAGAAACAGCATCAGAACACACAGAGAGCTCTTACCTTGTTATGGGAGCCCTGGGTCACGGTGGCAGCCCTGAACCTGCCGGGACTGGCTGCGTTACAGGACACGTTGTCCTCCAGCAGGAAGCCCAGGAAGAACACCAGGGACACCATCATGTAGCACACCGCGTAGAAGATGATGGGGCGCTCCGGGTAACGGAAGCGCGACACGTCGATGAGGAAGGTGAGGAAGGTGAAGAGGGTGGCGGACAGACAGACGATGGACACCACCCCGATGAAATAGCGGGCGAACGCCAGCTCCTCGCGCGTAAAGTACATGTTGGAGCAGGGGGGGGAGCAGTCTCGGACCCCCAGGAAGGAGTAGCCCAGCTCGGGGTTGATTTTGAGTTCTCTGGGACACCAGAAGCCGTAGTCCCTCTGGACGGAGATGGGGGAGTCGGTGGACTCTGAGCTGGACAGCAGGTCCACGGGACGGGGGTACGACTCGTCACAGTCCGGGAACCTGAAGGAGTCAGAGGGGGGGGTGAAGATTACTCACACTGCCAACAATATATTATACATTTAGCATTTGAAAGATTCTAAAGATTGATGAATACATTGGTCTGGTGATTACAGGGCATTTCAATAAAGAACAAGAAGTTCAACTTGCAGATGCTTTTCAAAATCCCACTTGCACAGGCGCCTCATTATGACTTCAAGCTTCTCCGGGAAAGATCATTTGTTTAAGTGGGTATTCGATTATTTGTATCTCTCAATCACATTATCCCAGCTCCGGGAAGCAGCTGAATACCTGAGTTATTCAAAAAGAATATAGTAGGGAAAGAGATAAAGAAAGTACTACTCAGACGACATGAATACACCCTTCTAATGCAAGGCTCTACTAAAGTCAAATAAGCTTTTTAGACCACGCTCTTTCATTTGAACACATATCTTTTAGCCTAACCTTGTCTCTGCATCTCCTCATTCCCACTGGATCAGGGACTGTATGCTGTCTATATATATAAAGCATATGCATTAGAATAGATACTCCACAATATAAGGCTCTTCTTAAGAACATACAACTATTTGTGAATGACGGCTCCTTAGTACAGTAGGTGAAAAGGATTCTTCCAACTGTAAAACGACTGTGTCATGTCTGTCCTTGTGGAGATATTGCATATTGTCATATTGATTTTTCATTCTTGTAACAATTTGTATTGCCTTTTATTTATGTTTTGATGTAGTTATGTCACTTCTGATGTTTTGCTGTTTGTATTCTCAGCTCTCACCACTTGTTTGGTTGACTGAATCAATTATCTGGCAGCAGAACTCATTGACCCGCAATGATGTTTGAAAAAAATGTCACTGTTAAGCAGCCAGTTGTCTTTCTAAAAGCATGGTATTCCTCTATGCCACATTTCTGTGGTTCAAATGAAGGACATTTACATCTTGCTCGGTTGCTGCATTACTCCTCTGTTTAAATTACAGAGATACATCCGGGGGGGAAGTGATTATTTCTGATGTACCCACCTGGTGCACTCCATCTCCTGCGGCCAGCTGACCCCGAACATGTCCATGAGCTTGTAGCAGTCGCTCCTGGCCTGCAGACAGAGGCGGCGGCAGGGCAGAGTCATGCGGCCGTACTCGGTGCACACGGGGGCGTAGAGCGCACACAGGAACATCCTGAGGTCCGGAGAGCACTGCAGGTTCACCATGGGATGGAACGGCTGCAGGGGGAGACAGAGGGGAGGACATGTGAGTGAATATAAATCACACCAGATAAGACCAAGCCAGAGAGTTCCTCCAACTTCACAGTGAGGGTCTAAGCAGGCACAAAGAGATCAGTGGAGCATGTCTCTGACACTTTCTGGAGATGAGTCCATCAAAACAACTCTGGCCTCTTTCCTAATAATCCCCTCCACCCCCCATGATATCAGTCCCCCCCCCCCCTTCCTCCGTCTCCTCCTTCCCTCCAACCTTCAACAAGCGGGGCGACCCCCACCATTTAAACACACACACACTGCTGCTGCTGACAAGGCCTTTGTGTTGCAGGGAGGACCACGCTGTGATTGACTGACACACTGCGCTCACACTCGTACACACATGAGCCAACAGAAGTATATTATTTACATGCAAACACACCCACGCAACAGCACAATAATAGTCTCACACACACAAACTGAGCCAAGAGGCGTTGGGAGAGCAGGAAGCATCCGTGGGACATGTTGTGAATATGCAAATGTTTCAGGAAGAGTGTGTATATGGGGGTGGGTGGGTGGGTGGGTGTGTGTGTGTGTGTGTGTGTGTGTGTGTGTGTGTGTGTGTGTGTGTGTGTGTGTGTGTGTGTGTGTGTGTGTGTGTGTGTGTGTGAATACATGTGTTGGAGCGAGCATGGTTGCGCAGACATACACCTCTGTGTTGTTGTGTGTGACTGAAAGGCCTGCAGCCACACCCAAGCTAGTCAGACACATGCTCCTCCTCCCCCGAAATGTAAAGACAGAGGTCTGTGACAGACAGGGAGGGGGAGAGAGGGGGAGAAGAGGAGAAGACAGGCAGGGGGCAATTTGTCTCTGTGTTTGTTAGGGGGGTGGATGTGAAGTATCACTGAGAGTTATTTTTACCATTTTGTTCAGCGTACATGAAAGGAGCCATATAATGCTACTCTTCAGGTTCATATCAGTGTGTAGTGTCTCTACTGGGACATGCCTCCATGCTGTAATGTTCAAAAAGGTCTTTATTTGTCTCATACTGCCTGTGCTGCAGCACCTCTTTTCACCCTCTGTCTGAAACCAGAGCCCAGTCTGCTCTGATTGGTTAGCTGGCCGGCTCTGTTGTGATTGGTCAACCGCTTATAGATGTCCTTTACTTAGCCTATCACATACAACGTGTTAGAGCGATAGCCAATAGAAGTGCGAGTGTTACAGTGTGATGTCACTATGTTACCTAAGTCCAATGGAGGTGTTTCAGGCAGGGGGGATTTTAGCTTTTAAAAACATTTAAAAAAAAAAAAACTTACGACAGGAAAGGGAAAACCCCAAAAAGCATAATAGGGCCTCTTTGAACAGAGATAAGGACATATGGACAGGAAGAACCCAATTTAGCTCTCTGTGTATTTTTGATGATACTTTCAGAGTTTGAAAATCTTAAACCGGATTGAAGCAGTGATGGAGAGATGGAGTCAAAGGAGCAGCTGGGGTTTATACAAAGACACATAAGGCTGTGTTTACACCTATCACTAGAGTACTTATCTTCTTCTGACCCTAATGTAAGCTTAGAACAACTCAACACATCTGAACCACGTTTAAAAAAATCTCAAAATTGGATTTTGGGTAAAAACTGATCAAATTCCCTATAATCCTACATGTAATACACGGTAAACAGTACACAGCTTTAGAAATGAACAATGGCTACAGCATCATTTGAGCTTAGAATGCAGCCATAAATCATGGGCCAGAGATGGAGGGTTTTTGCTGATCTTCTCACTTGTTTGCTACCTGAACAAATGTGAGCAGAATATTCGAATGTGTTTCCACCATGTGTCTACATCAGCATATTTGATCCTGAAAGCCTGTTTGCCTGCCACCCACATTGGATGTCTTTATGTAAAAAGGATTATAATGGGTGTTAAAGCACAAAGCAGCCACATCCACGCAGCTTTTGTCATCCCCTCGTTCATATCACTTTTCACGCGAGACAGACATATGGGCTTTGAGGTAATCAGTCACTTCCTTTGTGAGGGATCAGCGATGGGATGGTAACGGTAATAAAAGGACTTATATTCAAACGTGGAATCCATATTGATTCATATGTATTTTCAAAGCCAGAGGAACAACTTAGGTGACTTACACGGCTGGAGGCTGTCATATCTGAGATCAATCAACCGCTCAATCGTGTAATTTCTGTACAAATGGAGGCATCACGTTTCATTGAGCACCACTGTATCGTAGCATGCTGCGAGTCAGAGCTATCTATTAGGCGTAAACACTTCTGCTGTGAGAAGATCCACCTTGACATGGGGCTGTTACTGCAGACGCACAGCATCAGGCACACTGTGCTGCAACACACTCCTCAAAGGCTAGGAGATTTCTACCAACATTTCAACATTATTCCTAATCTTCCAATTATTTGTATTTATTTATCCAATAATTGTATTTTTAATTTTTATTTAATCTTGAAATGTTTTGTTTTGTCGGACTGACAGTCCCAAACCGAAATACCATCAGTTTAATATAATAGAGATATTTAAGAGAACCAGCAGATATTCACACTAAAACCAATAATTCATTCATTGATAAATTGCTTTAAAAAAAATCCACATAATAACCCTTAAAGGTGGGGTATGTAATTTATTTCAGAAACACTTTTTGTTATATTCCATGGAATGCTCTTAACATCCCGATAGCAATGAATATATTAAATGCTTTGACAATAAATTGATCTGTGGAAGCCATAGCGCTTTAAAAAGCACGACCAATCATTTTAGCCGGCCCGGCTAAAATAACTGGATGGCCTACCTGCCTGTCAGCCTTCCATCTCGTGCCCTCATTGGTCATGTGCGCGTTCGTGTGTGTTGGAGGAGGGGCTCTATAAGGAAGTGGCAGATTTTTTCCGGGTTGTGTATTTTCAAATTCTTGCGCACTCGAGCCGGTTATCCAAAATTACCTACCCCACCTTTAAGTGAATAATTAAGTGACCAATGCCAGTCTCCAAAAAAACACAACAGTTGTATGAAGGTTTGACCTAGGAATTTGCCAATCACGAAGTGTTTCACTTTTGCATCAATAATCTTAGTTAAAAATAAGTAAAAGTATGCACTTAAAGTGAAATAATAAAATATCTAAAAACACCTGAACATTTACAGAAACACAAACTACATCAAGAAAAAAAAGATATTGCGATTGTGAATTTACGGCCATTATACAAACATTATAGATAGAATCTACAATTCACAATTCAAATATCTTTAGATTTTTACATTTCAGGCACAGCATTGTCAGAGAAACAGAGAGGAATGTAAGACAGTCTCTGGAGAAATAATCCTGAGTTTCCCCGGCTCTGCCATGGTGCTACTGTGCCTCTCTCTGGCTCTCTGTGCTTTCGGTTGCCAGTGTGCGGTCCTGTGACTCCCATTAGTTATTACTTCATCCACAGTGCCCTGTCAGCGCTGGTTAACCACTCAAACATGATCTAATGCAACTAAAGTGAGCTTGCATCTTCACTCTCCCACTCTGCTTCCCGCAGGCTACAGATATGCACCATAGAACACAATGTACTACACTTTACACTGCATGGCAAACAGAGATGCCATGAGAGACGGTTGAATAAATATATAGGCTACAGGAAGTGATGATCTACTAGGGGAGACCTCAGCCTCGGTTCATATTCATCCCTCTCCCTATTCATCATGCTTCTCTTTTTTTTCTATTTTTACACTGCTCCATCACCCATCCCTGTCCTACCCCTCCTCCATCTCTTCAGAATCTCCATGCGGCCATTTTATCACTGTCAGCCCATCATGCTAGCCGCTGAGGGCCGGACTGCTGCTGCTGCTGCTGCTGGTGGTGGCTGATGGGACATATGGCTGGGCGCAGCTTTCCCCACACAGAGCAGTGTCTTGAGGCCCTGCGGAGCCCCCACAGTCTCCATGGGGATTTGATGTTAATGGCCACACTGGAAACAGCTGGTGGAGCGCTGGTCCGGTGAATGGCCAGAGGTTGGTCATGGCGCCGTGTTAGGGACAATCAGGCTTGTAATACTCGGCTCCGTAGAGCACTAGAGGGGTGGTATGCTAATGTGATTTCAGCTTCTATCCCCACTGCTACAGTCATTACGTATTCATGAGTTTCTTTGGGGATTTTTGATCTCTGAAAATGTGGTATAATATGCCACTGTGGAAATAGCGAGCTCACACAGAGTCAGATGTGTCAGTTATGGCGCATTTCCACTACACGGCCTCGCTCGGCCTCGCTCGGTATGGCTAGGCCTCGTTAGGACTGGCTCACTTTATGGCGCATTTCCATTACAGTTTAGGAACTGGGGTAGTATCTATAGTAACGCAGTGTAGGCGGAGCCGTGACGTCATCTTCAATGAGAACCCCAGAAAAACAACACAGCCGTTAGCTGTTAGCACTCAGAGCTCACAGCTCCTCATATCTGTTCAGAAACTAGACAAAAGTTAAACAAGTACAAACCACAGACTGCCTGTGTCATGGTGAATACAGTCGCTGCTTTATTTATGTCTGTATAGGCCGTTGTTGTGAGTGTGGACGGTCGGAGCATATACTGCGTTCGCTTAGCCAATCTCCATTTAGAACACACGCATTTTAAAAGGTTTTTCGCCTGCCGTCTGTCTGCAGACTTGTCAAAGCATTAATTCATGGTTTTTACTAACCGGTATCAGTATGTTGTTACTTCGGCATCATTTTGAAACGTGTATTACAATTAAATCACGGTCAAATATGTCCATCTTGTTGTAGTTGTAGCCCCCTTGCCAGCGATGCTCTCTCTAGTTTAGCATACTCAGCCCGACTCAGCCTCGTTGTCTCTGGCCCTAGACCCACGATTTTATGAGGCCAGAAAAACTGTGAATTAGGACCCGCCGGCCGGTACTAGGCCCAGTGGAAACGCAACCAAAGACGGGCCGCTGACGTCACAGCCCTCTTAAACCGTGCTCCGCGCTGTAGTGGAAACGCGCCATTAGAGGAGCAGTGGATTCTGGTCAACATCA